ACCAGTGCCCCACCTATCTGCACAGAGGTAGGCCCCAATGACATGGGAGCTGGTGAGCACAGGCTGCAGCACCCTGACTCGGGAGAGAATCACATTTCCCTCCTGGATTCCCGAAAGGCAGAGCAGCTGTCTAGATTACCCTGTGCATGCTGGCTCCGCCCCGGGGTCACACAGCCCGTGTATCAGCATTCACAGAGGACAGAAAACCAAGTAAGAGATTCAGTGATCGCTTACCATAAGGCGAAGACCAGTCACCTGGCTACCTTTACCAAGGGCACAGAGTAAACTATACTCCAGGGAGGCACTTAAGTGAAAGAGAATCCCACCGCTGTGCTGGTGAAAGAGAGGAGCAGCAACCAGAACTCCCTGACCTTGCAAGAGGAGAAAATCAGCCCAGGGCCTACCCTGCACCCCCTCCCCCACCCACTGCGATGAACAGAAAGAAGTTCTCAAACAAAACAAGGGTCTCCTTGTGGTTTATTCAGATAAAGCAGAACTGGGAAACTAGATGTTTTCATCAAATACATTCACCTCTCGACTGCTCTAATACCCAAACATCGGAACACCCTCTGCCTTGCACCAAAGGAGAAAACAATTTAGTCTGCCACTCCTATGTGACATCTTAGGCACTTTTAGAAATTACATTTGTAAGGTAAGTGGCCACCGGTAGATCTTCTTCCACCAGAGAAAAGCAAAAATTGCCTGAGTTACCCTTTAGGAATAAAGAGGGAGCAAATACTCCCAAAAGATTGAAAGAAAGAATTCTTCCCTTTGGCTCATGTTCTTAGACATGTGCAGAGTATTGACGTGCAAGACAGATTCTATCCTACGCACAGAACAGCAGGGATATCTCGTGGTCAAGACTTCTGGGGAAGATGGTTTGGGGAAAGGTATTCTGAACAATACAAATATTAACAAGTGTCTGGTGTTTGTGAGGTACACAGACAATACATCAAGGAAAAGACAAAACATACATTAGGAAAAGAAAAAATAAAAACATTTCTGTTTGCCAGTTGAAGCATTTTCTTACTTCCCTGTAGTTTCTGGGCATCTTATTCTCAGATCTCATCTTTTCTCTTTCTCAGCTTGTTTTCTCTAAGTCATGAGCACAGGCTTAATTATGCATAAATAACACAGCTTCATTTCAGAAGACAAGACTTCCTAACGCAAAAGTGCAGAAGCATGCTAATGAGATTATCATAACATTATTGTGTTTACCAAAATAATAGAAGAGTTTGGGGCTTGGAAAAAAAAAAGAGTTTGGGGCTTGGACAAGATCAATAAAACGGGAAGTTGAAGTATTTTATTGAACAGAGAAAGAGCATAGAGGGACACTCAGAATTCGTAGCTACCGTTTCAAAATTTTAATTGTAAATTTGGCAGCAAAGTGCTTTTTTTTCGATTACTGCATAAAAATTTTTGTTCTATTTCTTCTGAGCACATTCCTGAGAAAAACTGCTAGAATATTTGCCAATGACTTGGACCCAGGTTTTATGACTTGGCAGGATGTCCTGGAGGAAGGCTTTCAGAGTGGAGCAGCGGGGCTCTCCTGCGGCTGGGGATGTTGAGGACACCTGGCGTGCAGAGGCCCTGCCGGCAGGGGAAGGCAGGGTGAGTGGGAGGACGGGCTCCCAGCCTACTCCTGTTTGCGGGGTAGGGCGATGCTAATAGGACACGTGTCTGTCCGTCTGTGAGTCTGCTGGCTCTACTCTGAAGCTCTGAAGTAGGTGGCCACTCACTGCAGGCCTAGCAGCGGCCTGGCGCTCTCCCAGTATCTCTCTGTGGCCACTCTCAACAGGAGCCAATGCAACAGGCACCACAGGTCTCCACAGACAATGCAGACTCACCCTCCCTTTGTCACCAGCAACTCACCGGGCTTTTGCATTTGCAGTCAGTCAACAAATATTTACAGAGCTTTTATGACGTGCCAGCCTAACAACTGAAGCAAGATGTACAAGCACACTGAAATACTAGACGGGCTGGGGTGGGGGGCTGGGAATAAGGAGCCGGGAGGTGCAAGGAGAGGGGAGAGGACTCGGGTCCCTCAGGAGGGTGTCCCTAAATCTTTACAAGGAAGCACCTAGCTGAAAAAACCCCCGGCCCCACCCCCACCCGAACCCTGGGCTTCCCCTCCCTGACTCCTCAGGAGCACCAGAGGCTCACAGGAATCCGGGCAGGTGTGAAAGAAGCACACAAAGGTGATAAAGGAACAGTTGTGAGGCCAAGCAGAACAAAAATCTGAGTGGCCCAGTCGCCACTATCTAGTTTGCAAATAGACCACCCAGAAAATCTGGGAGCAATTAGGAGACAGAAAAACAAATGGTGGTGGTGGTGAGGAGGGTGCTCTGAGGATCTGAGGATGGTGGGAGGCAGGGATCACCAAGCGGAGGCGAGACCGGGGGCCTGGAGGAGACTGGAGTGGGGGCGGCGCACTTACATTCACGCGCAATCCCCGCAACTACAGAAGTTGGAACATGGACAAGGTGATCAGAAAACAGATTTTCAAATGCAGACGGGAGGAAACCACATCTAAACTCTAATCATCTTCCCATACACATGTGAATGTTGAAAAGTGAACTTTGAATAGGATAAGTGAATTTTAAAAATGTCATTCTTTTTATCAATGGTCAGGAGGGCTCGCACCCCTCCTGGGGCCAAACTGAAGACCAGCAGCTGACATTCCACATTCCTGCGGGGGGGGGGATGGGGGGTGGGGGGTGTCAGGCACCAGGCCTGGGTGTACAGATTGCTGCAGGAGCCCCAGCTCCCACTTCACCCCCACCCCCACCCCCACGTATTAGTCTTTCGTTACACAGGAAGGGACCAGCTCACTGTACGAAATGGAATGTCCAAGGTCATGTGGCTGAGCAGCAGCTGAGCCAGAATTCAAACCCAGGCTCCGGATCCCCATGGACTGTATGACCACAAGCAATCCCAATGGTGCCTCTGCATGGGCTGCTCCCTCTGCTGGAAATACACACGCATCATTTCCATCATTTCCGTCTACTCACTGCCTCCACGCCCTGTCTCCCATGTGAAGCTGTTGGTCTCTCAAGCTAGATGGCCTCCTGGATTGCTGCCTCCTCTGAATGCCTCCATGCTATGGACCCCAGACCTGGCCCTGTTGTAACCTCACGGGCCAGAACGAGACCCTGACCCGCATCAGATCAAACATGGTAAAGAGCATTCTTAGGCCACGCTAGACATAAGGTTTTCCTTTCAAGTGCTGGAGAAGAGTTTGATAGTTTGGCTTTCAAATTCTCCTTTTATGGGACACCTGGTTGGCTCATTAGGTGAGCATCTGCCTTTGGCTCAGGTCATTATCCTGGGGTCCCAGGACTGAATCCCACATCAGGCTCCCCACAGGTTGTTGGCTTCTCCCTCCGCTGCCTGCGTCTCTGCCTCTGTATCTCATGAATAAATAAAGTCTTGCAAAAAAAAAAAAAAAAAGGAAACTCTCATTTTACTTAGAAACTACCTGTGATCTCTCAGCAGTTACTGTGTATATGTGAGTATTCTTGAGATCTAGGATGCCCTGGGAATTGTTTTCAGTGGTGCTAAAACTTGTTGTGCTTTTTAAGCTGAGCAGTTATTATGACTGATAGGCATTTTGTAGAGTTTTAAGTGTTTATTTTTTTCAATTTGCAGTGGTTTCTCCCTATTTTTAGAATCTATGAACATGTTTTTTTCAGGTCTTAAGAATTTTGTAAGTCCTTGAAAATCTAGTAGGTGCTAAGCACTGTGCCTAAAGCATCTAACGGACAGAGCAGGCCTTAGCCATGTGCTGCCTTGTGTAACAGTTATATATAGATCTGCTTTAAGCCCTGCTGCTGTCCCCACAAACTCATGGCTTTCAGCTTACTGAAGACAGTGATTTTTGTCTTGTTGACAGATTATTTTTAGAGTGATGAGCACAACTGCCATGTAATGGATGCTAATGGACTCACTTGTTAAAAAATGTCATAAACAAACACAAAAACCACAACTTCAACTCCGTACTCTACAACCCCTTCCCTAAAACATACGCAGTTATTTGAAGTTATATTCCTAATACTTCTCACAATCTGGATTCTCTTTCCTTCAAAAAAAATGCTTTGTCTTCATTGCTTTGAAAGATGGTATGAATAAACAACATAAACAAGACACATAGTAGCAATGTCTAAAAGTATTCAAATTGTAGATTTCTGTTGCCCTGGCATTTAGCTACAGATTTCCTTGAAGCATTTATAGAAGAGTTGTACTCATAATTTTCCAGACATTCCATGTGTCTAAGACAGCAATTTGTTCTTGGGTCCAGGTAGACTTCTTTTGGTAGTTTATGGGCTTTAACTAGATGCAATCTAGTAACATTATAACATACACGATTAATCAAAAGCTTTTCATATGCCAAACTTTTAGGTATGGGGAAGAGGCAGCTCATGCTCTACCACAAATAATGAGAGGGAACAGCAGCATATGTTTCTGTGAACTAGCCTGCACGTGACATGAGTTTTTTCGGCACCAATAGAAAATCATAATTCATTAAAAGGAAAACAAAAAAACCCATGTATACTTGCTGTGAACTGTAACAAGATTTACATGAACAACATGTATTATTTAGCATGCAAATCTTCATGGTAGATGCTCATCCTTTAGTATAATATTGGCCCTGATATCAAAAGGCCTAGCTTTTAAAAATTCTTTGGTAATGTTACTAAAACAGAACATTTCCACCTTAGGCTAGTGTTGCTACTATTTCCATTTTCTGCATGTGGGTTGTTTTTTACCCATGCCCGGACCCAATAGAAACCCCTGGGGACAGGCCAGATTTCATGTGGCCACTGACAAAATGTCATTTAAATCTCCTTATGACTGTATTCTTAGAGAATAACCCAAACACGTAAAACTAAGTGGTCCTTGCTTGCATAGAATACTGAGAAGAGAAAACAGGGAAGGAAAGGTAGGGAGATGGGCCGGGAGAACTGGCCCCCACTCCCCACATTTGGCTGCAGATGGCCCACCTCTTTCCATTACTGTCCCGAAGCATCGCCTTCCCCATCACTCTGGACTTCGTCTCCAGCTCTTGTACCTCCTCCAGTAGCGTTTTTTTGCAGGTATGCTTGGCCCTGTGTCACAAGGAAAAGATAAAGAACACATGACACATGAACTTTCCATGGCGGTCGAGACTGATTGCTCCCATTTTGGGCCATATCTGGATGCCCTTTGAGGCTGTGGCTGTAGCTTCAGACATCACAAACATTCACAGTCCCTGTGAACAGGCAGGGTTCCACTCTCATAAACAAGGAAGCAGGACATAAACAAGTCCTGCAGAACACATTAGGGCCAGGAACCTCAGAAGTTACCTGGCATCTCCTCCAAAGAAGGAGGAGAACACTGCTTGTTCCTGAAAGCCTGGGGATCTAACTGAGGACCTCAGCCATTCAGACCAAAGACTGGGGTCAGTGGATATTCTGGGGTCTATCTCTAAAGCTTTTCACTGTCGGACCTAAGAACCCAAAAGATGCTTAAATTCTTACGTTAGTGGATGTGTACAGGTCCCTTGGCCCCTGCTGCTGCTGTGATCACAGAGCTCTGGGTGAGCAATGTGTTCTCTGTTTAGTATGAAAAGAGCCACTGTCACAGCAGGAATGGGATTTATAATGCTGGAGTTCATGGTTTCAAGTCAAATCCTAGACCTGAATTTTAGGGTCAACACAAATATTCAGACACAGCTTTTCCAGCCTTCTCTTGCAGAGACTTCTCATCAGGGCCCATAATCGTGGGCCTCCACAGGTGTAAAACAACTGATAGAACAAAAACATGCTGGACTCTCCACTGCAGTTTAAACCGTCAGCCTGGTTGGGTCACTCCCCTTGAACTCTAGGAAGAGCTGCCTGCACCCGTTTTCCGGTTCAACTAAGAATACCTTACAACGTTCAAATACACAGTTGATCTCAGGGTCTTCCTAAAATTGAGACTAAACACAGAGCTACCGGCTGGAAATGATACAGTTGAAGAGAGGCATTTAACTAGACACAGGTATGAAATGGGAAGAGAAAAACACACAGAAAAAAAGAAAGAAAAAAGGCTCTGAGCTTAGAAATCAATCCAGGGCAGTTTTCCTTATTATGAAAAGCTTTTTCATTAGTTTCAAGAGTAAACAAATGTGAAGATCCTGCTAAGTACCAGGACTCAAAGACAGAAGAACAAAAAGGGAGCATCTCTGCAAGGAAGTGAAAAACAATGTAACAGGACTCAAGCTGTTTTAGTGGAATCACATAGTCCCACCCCCCCACCCCCCACCATCAAGGGAAGAAAGTCTGTTAAGATAATGCCCAGTCATCCCCTAACACTCCAAATTAATCTATAATGGAGTATTAGTCCTAAAACACCGTATATGTGCCTGCCATTCCTTTCCCCCAAAGTAAACAGGAGAACTTAGCCACACAGGTTTTAACACATAATACCTTAATTATATCAAGCCAAGTCCCAGGACTCGGTAGAGATAACATGCTGCAGTTCAAAGCAGAGGCTGTGGAATTTTATTTTAAACAAGAAATAAGAAAACATTATCATTTTGCTGGAGACAGTCAAAAAGGATGTTAAAATTTACACTGTCCTGTATGGTGGGCCTCCAGCTTTCATCCCATGGGCTTACAGGGCTAGAATGATAACAAGACAACTGAGCAGCAAGGAGAACTTGTTCTCCCCAGGAGAATCTGTCTGCGCATCCTGAGGATGAGTGTGTGTTCTGTTTCAGGACCCTCTTCCCTCCACCATCCTCCTCCTCTCCTTCTTCTGTCTTCCTCCCCACACAGAGCAAGCAGAGCTCACCAACCTCTAGAACAGCCCTTGGAGTTATCTCCTGGGCTGGGTGACAAGGGCATCATCAAGAAGTAGGCTAAGAACAGGAAGGGCTGGACTAGTGGGTGCAGGACACTGGAAGTCTATACCTTAGGCCAAGGGAGAATGTGACCCACTGCATCAAAGCTGCTGGTTTGGGCTCATTCATAAAATCACTGCAGAAGGAAATCATCTGAGCATGCTGATGCTACCAGGCACTGTACATGTTCTCAGTGGATTAAACTCCTATGTCTAAGAGTTATTTGGCAATTTTTCAGTCTTTCCACTAGGCTAACTCCCATGGGCTAGCCTGGAGACTTGACCACTATTTGGGAACACCAGGTGGCAACACCCAGTGTTGGGGGTGGTTCTGTGAGTCTTTCTGAATGTGGCACAGGGGTAGAATGATAGCAATGGAAAACTGCTTTCTCAAGAGACCTTACCTAATAAAGCCTTAATTAGATAAAGGATCCCTCCCCCATCAAAGTCCACCTGTGAAAAGCCAATCTTTAAGCATTAGCCACCGGCATGCAATTTAGGTCTCACCAGGAGCTGAGGTTTGGCTTACTCGGAGTCACAGCTGACAGAGTGAGCTCCATTATCCATGAGTGGCTTATGCCTGGTGGTCCAGGGCTGCTCCATCTAACCCCGCATTCAGAGACCAGATGATTACAGAAGGGATAACATAGGGATGCTTAGCCACTGTCAGTGTTAAGAATCATCTGTGAACCTCCAGGTATAGTTGTGGGTAACTCCAGGTTATTAGGGACTTTTAAAATAAATCCATTAGCTTAGAATCTTGAAATTTTCATCCTTTTTTTCCCTGGAAACTTTTTTCCTCAATTCTTTCTTTTGCATGGAAAAGTAGCAAGTCGAAAGGAAACATGAAATTCTAAATATGGATGAAAACCTAAATACAATGTGCTTCACATGAACTTAGTTTCATTAGAAAGTTTTTCTTTTTCTTTTTTTTTTTAAAGTTTTTCTTTTTCAAAAAAAAATCAAGACTCGTTTGTATACAGAAATTTCTTATTACCTTTTATTTCCTTTTAACTGCCTATCTGGGATTATAATAAGGAAATGAAGTCATTCTGGAATTGCTGAACGTATTGTATGCTGACTGGTAAAGAATAAGAGATACAGTTAGATAAAAAGAGACTGGTTCCTGTGTTCAGTGGCCTTGAGCTTTATATTATTTTTATAAAGCAACTAGTGGATTTCTCCTAAATGAGAATAAGTATGTGGCAGCTTACCTAAGAATGCTGTCATGGGTAAACATTTTGGAAGTGTGTAAGCTAAAGGATATTAAAATAGTTCTGGGCAATTTAAACTTCATGCTCCTAATAAAAATACTCATTAGCCAGGTATCACATATAATCAATCAATTATTTTAGTAAAAGATGCGTTAGTTTGTCCCTCATGAAAATTATGGTTAACAGGATAACAGAGTAGGTACTTTATGGCATCCAAATCTGACTTAAGATAGTCGAGTAATGCATCTTCAAGCAGAAAGCTGACAGACTTCATGGAAAAAATGACTAAATGACCTCATGCTGGTTTTTTTTTCCCTCTGACTCTGAACGGTCTAGGTCCTAAAATGGGTGAGAGGGACTGTAAGTAAGTGGGGGAAAATGCAGAAAGAGCAGCTCACTTTCCTAAGGACTCATAGAGATACACATGAAAACACGGGCCTGCCTTCTGCTGTGATTTAAAAGCTCTTTGAAAATAGAGTTAACCACTAAAATTCAAAACAAAGCAAAAGGTCTGTAAGATCGGTCCAAGGCAAGATGAGAGAATGCAACTGCACCATGGAAGACTCCAAACATTGCCCCATGTCACCGTCACAGCACAGGCTTTTCACATGCTCCAGGAATCCGGTTCACTTTATTCAAAACTCTCCTTGGAAGTCCAAGGAGAGCCACAGCACATCATGTTTCAATAAATCGTTGACAATTGGAACCAAATGAAGGGTGGTTGTGGACAGTCAGGATTCATGTTTTTTGTTCAGGGTGCAGGAAGGGAAAAACAGAACACATTCTGGAAAGCTGAAGCTCAGAAAGAGAAATCACAGTCCCATACTATGCAACTCTTAGTCTGCTTTCACTTCCTGAAGAAGCCTCTGAATTTACTGGACTCAACAACATCTCTTTCAGGCTAGGAGTATAACAGAAGATAAAACATGGGCCCCATGATCTCAGGGAGATCAAATCAGCTTGCAAAATGCTTGTCTTTGAGGAGAGAGGTGACTGTTATTTAGACTTTAACCGTGTATTACAAATTGAGCCTATACTTTGGGAAAATACTGCAGGGGAGAGCCAATATATACAATCCTCCCTGGTTTCCCCAAATAAAAAGAGGCAAAAGTACATTTCTCTAAGTGCCTCTGGAATTCAGTAGCAGCCTTTCCAGCTCAGCCCAGAGCTGAGGCACCATCTGCTCCTGGGAAGGGCTGTTTTCTGGGCCTATCTGGGGCAAGGGGCAGCAGGTAAGGCCAGCACCTTCTTCTTAGCTCATGGTCCCTTTTCCCACCTGGCTGCCAAGTTTCTTGGAAACAAGTGACTTTAACTCTTTCCATATGGTGGAGCTGGAGGCAGTGTCCTTTGATTTATCCTTGCTAAAAATGTAAATGGTGCTAATTTTACAGTGTCAGGAGAAACCAGAAACAAGTCCTGTTTGGAGGAATAATATGCTTCATTGGTGACTGGTAACTTTTACTTGGCATGGATTGGGAAAGATCCAGAAGACTGATGAGGAGGTAGAGACATTGTAATCTGTAGACACTTTTTGAAATGGTAGAAAGATAAGATACTTCTGCTCAAGTCTTGCTTGGCAAATATACAGGCTCAATAAAATTTTTTTCATGACATTAATCAAAATAGTTGAATTAAAATAGGCTGAGATTAATTTATAATCACATTCCTATTCTCAATCACTATAAATTGTAAAGTGATCTGATATAGCCAGTATCATGTTGTATTTACCCGAAACTAACCTGATTGGTATATAAAATTGAAGAAATTTAGCAAGGTAATACAGTGTGCCACAACTGGGCTCTGTGCTTTAAGAACAAATAATAGAACTAGCATTTTGTTTCAGAGCATTTATTATATTACGAAAACATCTTTCCAGGCTATAATAATTTTATTTCCCAGGATTCTAGCTATTTATAGAACACAACTTTAGCAGATAAAGGGAAGTAGTGGTAAATCAAGCCATTTAATAAATTAGAATTGTTTAATTTTTACTAATAGTTGCAAAACTTAGTTAAGAGAAAAAAAAAACACCCAAAATATGTGCTACACAATTCTCTCTCTTCCTCTCTCTCTCTGTATTAGGCATCACCAGTTGTCAAGATAATGCCAAAATGAAGACTTTTTCAAAAGGCATCCTTAACTGTCAGGCAAGAACAATTCACATTGACTGTGGGAGGAAGGGGGAAAGATAAAAATGAAATCTGATGTCTTTTCCTGGAAGGTTTGTATTAAAGTCGCAATTCTCTACCTCAGGGCCCCAAAATAATTATGCTTTGCCCAAAGTAAAACCAATCCAGGAGTCTCAATTTTCAGGGAAGTTGGCAACTATTTGTAGGAGTAATCAGCCTACCCCAAACAAAAATCATTATTATCTCATTTGGAGTATTCCATGTCTTTCTCATGGATGAAATTAAAATTAACATTACCTTAGAACTTAGTCGCTTAGCTAACCTTGTGTACAAGATATTTCAGAAACAACATATTATTGTATTTTGAAACATATAAGCAAAAATTGAGCATGAATTATTTCCTATTTAACCTATATGATCCTAATTATTTCCTCTTTAACCTACATTATAATTTCATCTTTGTGATTAATCTTCTCATAGATCTGTACAGTGACACTCAAACTAAATTATATTTGAAAGACTCCTACTATAAATTACATATATACAATTTTCATTTAAATTTGGGATTTAAAGCCAGGTTTTATTTGTGATCGCTTAGGTATTGATTTTTAGATATAAGGGGAAGTGAATTTTGAGTTAAGCTTCTTAAACCTGATGGAATGAATCTGTACCTAGAAACCCTCCTTAAAAATCATGTACAAGAAGCACCATACCTATTGACCTACACAACCTGTCTCAGGACTCCTTTTTGTCTCTATTCTCATATCAAGGTGAAACACAGGTTAAAATTAACACACACACACACACACACACACACACACACACACACACACGGGAAACCCAAACCCCCAACATTCTTTACATCTGTTGCTGGCAGGAAGCAGGATACCTGTTCCTTCAGAACTCCCACAGCATGAAATAACCGTATGGCGAGGGTTCACGAAAGGTGATTGCAAGGACGGCTGAGCAAGACTTAGGGTGACTATTTCACTTTTCACTTACGCTCTCCATGCTACATCTTCGATCAAACATGCTGTGGGCACCAGAAATAATCCCAACCAGAAGTGTGCGGAGCTCAGGACCATAGTTGCCTGCAAGAAATAGAAGTGACACCTGAATGAATGCTTGTTCTTTCAAACACAGATGTAATTTAATCTCATAGAATTGATTAAATAGAATGTGAAACATTCTATGACACAAAACCAACAGAAAAGCATTAAAATCAATCACAGTGAAAACATACACCCAGGAAGAATGTCAAGGGGACCTGACATGGTGAATGCCTCTTTCTTGATCTCCATCAGCATTGGCCTCCTTTTATTTTAACAAGTGTTGTCTCCCTCTGTCTATAAAGTGCTTTTAACCCCCCTTCTGATCAGAATGGTGACCCTAAAGCCCTCCTTTGGAAAAGCTAGAGCCAGACTCCTATCAAATGAACTTTTCTCTACTAGGCTTTTTATGTCCACTTTCCCTAGCCATGAGTTCATGTTCCTTCACTGCTCATTCATTCTTGGAACCGGTGCCTTGGTCCAAGGCATGGTGATTCAGAGGAAAATGTATGGTTATAGTCTTTGCCTTTAAGGAGCTTAAAATTATAAGTACAAACATACATGCATACACACCATTGTACAATACAATCTACAGATCTTCCATGACTTATGATGGGGTCACATCCCGATATACCCACCATAAATTGAAAATATCCTAAGCCAAAAATGTGTTTAATATACCTAACCTACTGAACATCATAGACAGTTGGGCAAAACCATCTATTATAAAATAGGCTTTTGCTTTTGCCTATTTTATAATATAGTACCAATGTGAAAGATTGCATGGAGTTTCCTCAAAAAGTTAAAAATAGGAATACCATATGATCCAGTAATTTCACTACTGGGTATTTACCCAAAGAAAACAAAACATTAATTTGAAAGGTACATGCACCCTTATGTTTATTATAGCATTGTTTACAATAGTTAAGAAATGGAAGCAACCTAAGTATCTGTCCATAGATGAATGGTCGAAGAAGATACAGTGTGTGTGTGCATGCGTGTATATATACAAAGTCATGCACACATAATGGAATATTACTCAGCCATAAAAAACAATGAGATCTTGCCATTTCTGACAACATGGATGGACCTAGAAAGTATGCCAAGTGAAATAAGCCAGACAAAGACAAATAGCCTAAGTGAAAACTTACCAGTAAGATCTAAAAAACAAAGAAATGAACAAACAAAAACACCAAAAAAAAAAAAGACCCATAAATATAGAGAACAAATTGGTGGTTGCCGGCAGGGGGCGGGGGGGAGGGGTAGGAAGATAGGCAAAATAGGTAAAGGGGAGTGGGAGATATAGGCTTTCAGTTATGGAATGACTAAGTCATGGGGAATTAAATGCACAGCACAGGGAATATTGTCAACAGTATAGTAAATGTTGTACAATGACATGTGGTAGCTACACTATGAATAGACTTGTCAAATCACTATGCTGTACACCTGAAAATAATGTAACATGTATCACCTATGCTTCAATAAAAAGGAAACAAGAAGCAAGATTAAAAATATAATAAAGTTGTCAAATATCTTGTGTAATGTATTAAATACTGTACTAAAAGTGACAAATGGCTGTCTTGGTGTAGAATGGTTGTCAGGGGATCCCCGAGTGGCTCAGCGGTTTAGTGTCTGCCTTCGACCCAGGGTGTGATCCTGGAGACCCGGGATCGAGTCCCACGTTGGGCTCCCTGCGTGGAGCCTGCTTCTCCCTCTGCCTGTGTCTCTGCCTCTCTCTCTCTCTCTCTCTCTCTGTGTCTCTCATGAATAAATAAATAAAATCTTAAAAAAAAAAAAAAAGAATGGTTGTCAGTGTGTTGTTTATTTACCCTCACAGCACTATGGCTGGCTGGGAGCAGCCACTGCCCAGCCTCATGAGAGAGAATCATGGCACATATTGCTGGCCAGGGACAAGATCCAAACTCAAAACTCAAAGTATGGTTTTTACTGAATGTATATCACTCTCACGCCATCACAAAGTTGAAAAATTGTTAAGTTGAAAGTCCATCTGAAGTCAGGGACCATCTGTACACGAGACAGAGGAGTATAATATGTATCATGATCATATTCTACGGGGTTTCACAAGGCTAGAAGGCTAGTAAGACTTCTTAAAGACATCAGAATGTGAGATGTGGCTGGGAAGATAAATGGGATTTCCACAGCTGAAGAGGGGTGGAGGGAGAGCTTTCCAAGGGTCAGAATGAATGATGGGGATAGGTAGTGAAGAGCACAGCTTTTGATGCGACTTACTCGTTCCTGGCATTCTGAATCACGGGCAGAGGGTTTTAAGGAATAGAGTTGCACAGCCAACTATAATGTTAGGCGAGGAACTGAAAAGAGAATTTAGGGCCAAAGCAGAGGGAGGGACAAGTTTGCTCTGAACAAAAACAGGGGCTGGGGAGTACAGAGTCCTTAGAGTTCAGTTTTCAGTTTTAGTGAGCAAGGCCCAGAGCATGGAGCTGGCTGGGAAGTGGCAGGCTGGCCTGGAAGGGTGGGCTACTTTCAAAAAGGACCAAAGTGACAGAACCCTTTACATCCGTTGGTTTGCTTTTCTGGAGGCCTCACCAGGTGATTCCACTGGAATAGATCTGTTTTGCCACAAAAACTCATTACAAAGCAGTATGAGGCTTTCCAGGGGCAGGTGGGCGGTGGGGCTGGGGCACTTGTAAGGTGAGGGACACCTGCAGGGACTTGGTAGGGCTGAGAACATGGGTGGCTCAGGGCAGCTCTCTTCAAGCGTGAGAGGGTGGGGTTCACCCTGACCCCAGGGTGGCAGTGGCACGCAAGGATCCACTCATTCTGGTTTCTACCTTCTCTTCTGGGAGCAGGCCACACCCACTGGGGCCCTGCTCTGTCCCTGCTTGTACCTGAGCATGGCTCCTGTCTCTGCCATCTCAGCTTCTCTGTCTGCACCCCCAATCCCCAGCGGCCCTGGCAAAGCCCACAACTGTCCACACTGGTCTTGCCTCTGAAGTCCGTCACATAGCTCTGCGTGGTACTCAGAACTTCATGACAATGAATCTGAGAAGCAGTGAGGTCTGGGGTAAGGCCGGACTCCACCCTGGCATTGGAGGACTGGCTTTCATTTTCTAAAACAAGAGAGCCAGCCTCCTAAAAGAACAGTTTTAAACCTCAAAACCATTTGAGTAGAGTACATTGTGCCCTGTCGATTCATCCTCAGGAAGGAAGAGAATGTCAAAAGAGGTAAGTATGAGAATTTCCATTTAGTGCGGCCACCAAAGAAGGAAAGAAGTGTTCAAGAACAGAACTTAGCTGTAGAGGGGTGCCTACACACAGTGGGCCTCCAAGCAGCAATTCAAGTGATGGAGCATTACATCCGCTAACAGAGAGAAATGTCAGGGTATACTGCTATGGAAAGCTCCAGGTCCTGACACCTCTTACAGCAGACCTACCATGGCAATGGGGAGGGGGGAGGAGAGGTGGGAAAAGTGACATAATTAGGCCAAATCTCAAAACTGAACTTGAGACACCATGTCCTGATGCACGTCATTAAATGTTGAGCATTATACATATGTCTGTAGATGTCAATACAGACTCTAATTTTTGTTAAGTCCTGCTTTAGGACTTCCTCTAAATACAGACTCTTCCTGTCAATACAGACTCTAATTTTTGTTAAGTCCTGCTTTAGGACCTTTCACAGACACATTCTGGGACTTCAAAAACTGTCTGTGGTCCCAGCCCTCTGCCTTGGGACCACCACCCCCTTTCACAGGTGCATGCTGACACGTTCAGAAATAATCAGGGGGAGGATGATGGCTGATTGTTGTTTGCATATCTCTTTGAGGCTATCTCCATTTCCTGTTCCCCCCCCCCCCCCCCCCCCCGCACAAAACATGTCTTCCTCACATGGAAGAAACCTTTAACTCAAGCCCACCCTCCATCCCCCAAGCACACCATGGGAAGGAGCTGATTGGCCAGCTCCCTCTGCAAACCCAACCTTCCACCAACCTCCCTCCACCCCCAGCCCCCTACCCTGGGGTCAGTCCAGTGGCAGCTGAGCTGGCATCTTAGGTTTGGCTCTCCTATGCACACACGGCTAGGGTGGTGCGTCAGTGGCCCATGGAAGAGGGACTCCTTCGAGCTATACTTATGGGGATACATCCTGGATCATCCACCAGGTATATTTATCAAGAAGTAGGGTCATTTGAAAATTACACTTTACAACAAGGTACTACTTAAAACAGATTATGAAACTCAATGAACTTTGAACTGCCCTGTTGGCAATATGAAGCCCCTTCCTAAATGAACAAAAGTTACAAAGAGGTTTGGAAATATTGTTTTGTTGTTGGTTTTCAAAGCTTGGAGCTGGGAAGATTTCATGTATGTGAACCTAAAGCTGTGTCTCCAGGAAGGTTTCTACAGATTTTTACAGAATGACTGAGGCCCAAAGTCCTGAGAGTTTCCCTAAGGCCACAGCTTTAGTTATTCAAATTTAATTACATTTTTCTTGTTCTCTTAGCATAACAACAAAAAAATGTTTATTGAGCTGGGCTGGGTAACAAATGGCATTTAAATTACCCTCTGCCCTCACCCCTCCTAAATACTACTGAGTGGGGTTTTAAAAGCATCCTTTTGATGTGCTGACCCTCTATTGGGAAGAGTGCACCCCTCAGTTAACACATCTTCACTGGCACTGACCTGAACCATTCAGATGCCAAGTGCAGAGGAACCCAAATGCAGGTAAACTGAGGCTCAGGTGGGTGAAACGGGTTGACACATTAGGGCATGAAGAGGTGAGAGCCCTGACAGGACTGGAGGTTTGTCTGACTGCAATGAGCTGCCTAGGGCAGCCTTGAGTTAAACCAGAAGTATTAATCAGGGGCACCCACTACGCCAGTGATCAGGAATTAGCGCATTCCTCTGCTGCAGCGTGCTACTAATCACACACACTCACACAAACACACACAAAACACACCCCCCCAGGTCCAGCCACCCAAGAACGTGATGATAGAAGAGAAGTTTAAAACCGGAAGCAGAAGTAACCAGAGCCAGTTAAGGGCAGTCTGTGCTCCCAGTGTGGG